TTCCGAGAGCAAAGGGACATTTCAGGATGCCTGAAAATTGATGTTACAGACCATTATAGCTGTTCTTGGGCCACATGTGACAATCCTGTATCAAGGACCAGGAATCTTTTTCTTTCCCTCCAACTAAGACAGAGAGAAAAATATTTAGGTGTTTTGTCCTCTGTAGAAATTACTCTTTTTTTTTGGTATATATAAAACCTAAGCACACAGGCAAGCTTGGCTGTATCTCTATGACAAACAATGTAAATGCACACAGAGGCCTGGGCTGTGAAGAGGAAGACTTTGCTGCATGTGTTTCTGTGCAGATGCTTTGTGCAGGTGCAATAAATCCGCTCCAGCAGGGACCTCATTCCCTCCGCACGCAGAGCACAAGTTGCCCGACAGGGCAGCCTGGGCCGTCACCCTCACACACGTCCTCACATCTCGGCCTCCCAGAAATCCTGCAGAACATGAGTGTTCTCCTGTTTTCCCGTGTGTGAAATTTTGGGATAGCGAATAAAATTAGCAGTGAAGAAATGCAGATGGCATCATACAGGAACCACAGGCGAATCTTACTATTGTTGACAGATACCGCACCTACAGGGCCACTTCTTCAATATGCTGAGACATATCTGAGGTAACTCAGTAACTTACACCAGACAGACTTAAGACCCTTAATTATTTTCAAAAATATGGCCAAATTTGGCTTTGGGGCTGTTTTAGTCTTGTTGGAAAATAAGAGAGTAGATGACTAAGTAGAAGACTAAGAGTGGGAACAATAACAAAACCATCAATATATACAATCTTATATAAATATATAAATATATAAAAGTAAATATTTCTATCAAATAGGTGTTACTTCTTACCTTACATAAATATTATTCAGATGCAATGACTTGCATCATAGGCTGTATTATTAAAATAATACACTATATACATGACTATATTTAAAGAGCGCAGTTTTGAGATTCTGAAGAATAAACGAATTAAAATCTCTTTATTTTGTAGTGGCCACATAGATCAATTCTGTCTGTAGGAAAATACAATACAGCTCTCCGTTTGGGAAAACTGCATGGGTGCCTTTTGCAAAAACAAACACTTTGGATGCAATTTCTTAGACGGCAAGAGAGCACTGAGGGTGAGTGCCTGCCTTGGAGGCTTTAAGATTTCTGTGTCCCTGTGAGGCTGCATCTCCTTTTTTGCCCTTAGGTCAGTTTACACTGACACCTCAAAGGCTTCAGCTTTTCCCTTCCCTCCCTCTACTTGCTTTACTTTTCTATCACCACATGCTGCACATGCGAGGTGGAGCTGCCTTTTAACTTCAGAGATCAGCACGATAGGAGGGCAGTGGAAATCAAACAAACCTTCAAAAACACAAGGGCAGTGAGGTACCCGCAAAACTAGTACTCAGCTCCAAAACTAGATGGGTGGCCAGCTTTATCCCAGACAGTCCATCAACAGCCTAACCACAGGTCAGACCAACTCCGGCATTGCTCATACTGTCCTGTGGCATTCACCGAGAAGCCAGATATTTCTGCTTAAGGAATTTCCTCGGTGAGGATTGCCTTTAAATACAGACAGAGAAGTCAATCTGCTAGCAAAAATGCACACATATGTCACCTAATTAAAGGCTTTTAAAAAAAAAAGAAAAAGAAAATCCAACCTATGTTTTAAAATCAAACCTATGTTCTTGATTGAATTACCATGGGAAAACAGGAATAAGCCTTCCATCTCATTTCACGTCGGCCTGAGTTTTTTTGGACTCGAAGAGAAAAAGTTTAAAAATGTTCATAACAGTTTGTCTTCTTATCTAAACTGGCCAACTTGGTATTCTATTAATTGAGTCCTTGACCATTCAGTGGACATTAAAAGCACCTAAAACATTAGTCTTTGACATTTGCCTACTGCAACCACATTCTGTTTTTCCTTCTTTCATTTCACAGGTATAAGCTTAAGAATCCAGGTACTTTTGGCAGGTAGTGAGCTATATGATTATTATGAAAGCAAACATTCACAAGCTGGAGATTAGTTTAAGCCAATACGACTGCTAAGCACAAAAAAGACAGGCCTAGCCCTGAAGATCTTGAAGCCAAAGACAAAAGACGATGCACTCAGATTCTCTTAAAACAAATTTCAATGGTTTGACTGCGTAGATTGAGACTCAGCAGACTGTTTTATGGGGCATCTCCT